TGGAATGCAGACTGCTTCTCTAAACATTTAGGAAAGAATGGGTCACTCTCAGGAGCTCAGTGAATTGAAGTGTTGTACCATGATAGGATGCCATTTGTGCAATAAATCCATTCATGAAATTTCCTCGCTACTAAATATTCCACGGTCAATTGTTAGTGGTTTTACAAGAAAGTGGATGCAATTGGGAACAACAGCAACACAAAGCAGCAGTCACAAAGTGGTAGGTCATGTAAAATCCCAGAGGGGGGACAACGCATGCTGAGGCGCGCAGTGTGCAGAAGTCGCCAACTGTCTGCACAGTCAATAGTTACAGACCTCCAAACTTCGTGTGGCCTTCAGATTAGCTCAAGAACAGTGTGTAGAGAACTTCATGGAAGGGGTTTCCATGGCCAAGCAGCTGCATCCAAGCCTTACATCACCAAGTGCAATGCAAAGCATCAGATGCAGTGGTGTAAAGCACTCTGCCACTGGACTCTAGAGCAGGGGAGACGTGTTCACTGGAGTGATGGACAAATCACGCTTCTCTGACAATCCAATGGATGAGTCTGGGTTTGGCGGTTGCCAGGAGAATGGTACTTGCCTGACTGCATTGTGCCGAGTGTAAAGTTTGGTGGAGGGGGGATTATGGTGTGGGGCTGTTTTTCAGGGGTTGGGCTTGGCCCCTTATTTCCAGTGAAAGGAACTCTTAATGCTGCAGCTTTCAAAGTCATTTTGGACAGTTTCATGTTCCCAACTTTTTGGGAACAGTTTGGGGATAGTCCTTTCCTATTCCAACATGGCTGTGCACCAGTGCACAAAGCAAGGTCCATTAGGACATGGATGAGCGAGTCTGTTGTGGTGGAACTTGACTGGTCTGCACAGAGCCCTGACCTCAACCTGATAGAAACACCTTTGGGATGAATTAGAGCAGAGACTGCGAGCCAGGCCTTGTCCAACATCAGTGCCTGATGTCACAAATGCTCTCCTGGAAGAATGGTCAAAAATTCCCATAAATACTCTCCTAAACCTTGTGGACAGCCTTCCCAAAAGAGTTGGAAGCTGTTATAGCTGCAAAGGGTGAACCAACTCCATATTAAAGCCTATGTATTAAGAATGGGATGTCATTAAAGTTCACGCGTGTGTAAAGGCAGGTGCCCCAATACTTTTGGCAATATAGTGTATATTAGCGCCTCTGAGTTTTTTTTTCCTTTGACCAATAAAACAATCGGACCTGTCCATTTTCCAGACCCACGTTGAAGAGCAATGTATTACTTTTTCAATGTAAATCGGTCTTGACTTTTTACATTTTGAGCAGTTCAATGGTCCCATATCCTGCAGAGTGCAGTATTTCCCACAATGAAAATCATTCGCTACCTTGCACGGTTACCATTTCATTACATGTTTTGCAGTGAATTTTCCACATAAAATTATTTTCCCGTGAAATTAAGTTCTCTGCTTTGGTGGCTAACATGAGAAGTATACAAGGTTAAGTACGTTTTATAGAACGGAAATAAACTACATCCGTCAGATTTTACCAAGTAACCATTCCGGATACACGATCGCACATAGTGACTATTATAGGGTTATTTGAAAGAAAGGACAGAGTTTCAAACTTCGCATCAGTGTGACAAAGTTTTGTCCTGTGACTGGTGTATAACATACGGTTATGCGAATGCATTTAAGTTGCCTTTGGATTACGCACAAGAAAATAAAGCTCAAATAACGTTTTAATCCTCACAACTGATTGTGCTATTTGACTACAGCCTCTACTGGTAATTATTATTATTATTATTATTATTATTGTTGTTGTTATTGCACTGACATTCATGTTTACATTACATTCTGTTTAAAGTCACTGTATATTAATATTGCAAAGGGCGCGATCGAATAACTGAAAATGAAAATAAAAGATGCTACCGAAAAAAAATAATCAGATGTTAATCATAACCTTTTTTAATTTGTACAGGCAGATGTCTGAAAAATGTTATAGTCTAAAACAAACAAACAGCGCTGAGCTGGAGGAGGCAGCCTCAACCTAACGCGGCCGGCGCGAGGGCTGCAGAGGGCGGACGCTCAAGCGCTGATTGGTCTCCGCGGCCGCCGGGGGACGCCTCGTTACTCCCAGAGCGGCTCTTCCTTACCCCGCTATACTAAGGAAATAGAAAAAAAGAAGGGAGCGATAGATAAGCAAGTTTGTCTGTGAGGACGGCGTCTCAAGTGGTGGACAGAAGGGGCGAAATTGGGTGGATTCTGGTAAACGGAGGGGGGGCTCTTCGGGCGAGGGGAGAAAGCGAGAGCGGAGCGGCGGGTGGAGGGCGGCAGACCTGGCCCTTTAAAGCGCGCATCCACGCCGAGGTGAGCAGCTCCGTCCCCCTCTGTTCCTTTTGCCGCGTACGGTTTGTCGGAAAAATCTTGCGTTTGTGCCCTTTTCGGATGTTTGTGGTTATTTTGTTATTTTAATCGTTGAGGGGCGGCGTGGGAGGGCGGTTTGTGTGTTTACACCCTAACACGGTCTTATCCAGCCCTACTGTCCGCGCGGCCGTGGGGCAGGCTTCGATACCCAGCGCCCCTTTATAAACCTTATTTCCCGTTTGGTTAACGGGGCGAGCGGGGTGAGGCAGTAAGATGGAGGCTGGGCAGTAACACCGACGAGCCGCTGGAAACGCTACTTTTGCCGACGTTACTGTTGTGAAAGTACGTGCATCTTC